CTGACCCCGCTGTCCCCCCTGTCCCCAACTGTCCCTGTAGTGGTTAGACTGGTTTGTACTGGTTTATACTGGTTTGTACTGGTTTGTACTGGTTATACTGGTTATACTGGTTTGTACTGGTTTATACTGGTTTATCCTGGTTATACTGGTCTGGACTGGTTTGTACTGGTTATACTGGTTTATACTGGTTATACTGGTTTGTACTGGTCTGACCCCGCTGTCCCCCCTGTCCCCAGAGCCACCATGAGCCGCTCCCCGCTGCTGCTGCTGCTGCTGCTGCCGCCAGGTACTGGTTTATACTGGTTTATACTGGTTTGGACTGGTTTGGACTGGATTGTACTGGTCTGGACTGGTTTGGGGACTGGGAGGGGATTTGGGGTTACTGGTTTGTACTGGTTTGGGGTTTTCCTTACTGGTTTGTACTGGTTTGGAGCCTGGGGTTACTGGCTTATACCGGTTTGGACTGGTTTATACTGGTTGGTACTGGCTTATACTGGTTTGGGTGTTGGGGTTACTGGTCTGGACTGATTTGTACTGGTCTGGACTGGTTTGGACTGGTTTATAATGGTTTGTTTGTACTGGTTTGTACTGGTCTGGACTGGTTTGGACTGGTTTATAATGGTTTGTTTGTACTGGTTTGTACCCCCATTTTTACTCTCTCAACACCCAAATTTTTCTATTTTTTTTCCCATTTCTCCCCATTTTTTCCCAAACTCCCAGGAATCTCAGGACCCTCCTGCATCCCTAAACTCCCCCAACCCCCCCTAAATCCCCCCAAACCCTCCCAAAACTCCCTAAAACCTCCCCCAAAACCCCAAAATCCTCCCCAAACCTCCCATTCTCAGCCCCATACTGACCCCAAACCCCCATCATTTCACCCCAAACCCCCAATATTTCAAATTTTCCTAATTTTCCCCATTTTTTCCTGAATTCCCAGGAATCCTGGCTGTTTGCTGACTCCCTAAACCCCCTGAAACTCCCACAAACCCCCCAAACCTCCCATTCTCACCCCCATCCAGCCCCCAAACCCCACCGAATCCACCCCAAAACCAATTTTCTCCCCCATTATTTTTTTTTTTTTTTTAAACTTTTTCCCGATTTCCCCGTTTTTCTCCGCAGGGATCGCGGCCGCCTCGTGGGCCGCCTGGATGCCGCCGGCGGTGGCGGGGCTGGCGGGCTCCTGCGCCTCCGTGCCGTGCCGCTTCTCGTACCCCGAGGAGCTGCGGCCGGGCTCGGTGCAGGGGCTCTGGTACTTCGGCAGCCCCTACCCCAAGAACTACCCGCCGGTGGTCGCGCGCTCGCGCCCCGGGGGGGTCCACGAGAGCTTCGCGGGGCGCGCGCGGCTGCTGGGGGACCCCGGGCTGCGGGACTGCTCGCTGGAGCTGGGACCCCCCCTCAGCGCCGAGCTCGGGGGGCGCTGCTGCTGCAGGGGGGGCTGGGGGCTGCAACCAGTACAGCTTCAGCGAGCACACCACGCTCGAGGTGCTCGGTGAGTGGGTTTGGGGGAAATTTGGGATTTTTTGGGATTTTTGGGGATTTTTTCCGGAATTTTGGAGGTGTTTGCGGTGAGTTTTGGGGGGGTTTTAGGGGATTTTTGCGATTTTTTGGGGATTTTTGGAGGAATATTGGGATTTTATCGGGTTTTTTGCTGATTTTTGGAGGGTTTGGAGTGAGGTTTCGGAGAAATTTGGGGGATTTTGGGATAATTTTGCCGTTTTTTGGGATGTTTCAGTGAGTTTGTGGGGAATTTTCCCGATTTTTGGGATGTTTGGAGCAAAGGTTTTGGGGGATTCTGGGGAAATTC